TTATTGATCACCGGCTGAATCAGAACTGGCAAAAATCCAAGGATGGATGGATGGATGGATGGATGATGGATGGATGGACCCAGCCAATCTCTGGGTCTCTGTTTTGTTTCCATCCAGATCTGCTGCTTGTTGCTATCTGCATAGTTTATGATGTTAGATGCTGTTCCCCCCCCCCCCCCCCCCCCCCCAGTGAATGTCTTGTAGAATATTCACGTGTTGGAGAAGATAAGCTGTGAAGGTGGTGACCCTGCTCTTTCGGGTTTTAAAGGGCATTTTTTCAGCCCCCCCCTTTAAAAGGGCCTGTTTTCTTCACCTCACCCTAACCTGTGCCCCCCCAACTGCCTTGAATATTAAAATAAAAAAAACCGGTTTTGAAATCCCAGATATGGAGGAAAACGGAAAAAACCCCAAACCCGGGAGGGGATTGGGGACGGGAAATTGACGGGACTGCCCCTGATGGAGGGGGTTTCAGCCAGCACAGGGGTCCTCTAAACCAACCCCCTGGAGCGGGATCTTAGCTTTTAAAACCGGGGACAAAAGCCCCCAGGTTTTGAGATGGAAACATTAAAATTTTGGGGAAGAACTGTTTACTGTGGGGTTTTTAAATTTATTCCTGAATTTTTTAAATCCCCATTTTTTTCTTTTCCCTCAACCCTTTAAGATAAGTTTACAGAAAAAGAGCTGCAAGAACCTAAGAAAAAGGGCATGCAGGCCTGCAGAGAGTCTCTGTCCTCTCAGGGACAGAGGCTGATGGTCCTCAGGTCCTCAAAAACCATCATTTCCAATTTCTGTCCCCTTTTACATCAGTCACAATGGTGCTGGTCCCTTTTTCCCCCTGCGTCTGCAGGCAAAAAACAATAGTAAACAATGTCTGTGCCCTCTCCCTTTTCACTTTTGGGGGGCTTTTTTTTTTAAAAGGATGGTTCACATTTAGCTTTACTGAAGGTTTTTTAAACTGCTTTTACGGGCGGGGCAAAAAATGTCCAACAAGATTATAGAAATTTGATCGGGGCTGATCCGGCGTGTTGGTTTTAAGGGTTTTAATTGGTCAGGGATGATTTTGGTAGGGGTTTTAAATGGCCCAGGGAGGATTAGTAATTTTTTAAAATATTTTAATTTGGTCGGGGAAATGATTTAGTAATGGTTAATGGGTTAATGGTCAAAAAAGATCTAGAAATTGGTTAAGGGTTTTAATGGTAAAGGGATAAATCTGGTAATGGTTAAGGGTTTAAATTTGGTCGGGGGTGATCTAGAAATGGTTAATGGTTAATGGTAAAGGGATGATCTGGTAAGGGTTTAATTGGTTAATGGTCGGGGATGATCTGGAAGGGTTAATTTTAAATTTGGTCGGGGATGTTTCTGGTAAGGGTTTAAAATGGTCAGGAAGTTTGGGTATGGTTAATGGTCGGGTTGTTCTGGTAAGGGTTTAAAAGGTTAATGGTCAGGGTGTTTCTAGTAATGGTTAATGGTTAATGGTCGGGGATGATTTGGTAAAGGGTTTAAATGATTTAAATGGTCGGGGGATGTTCTGGTAAGGGTTTTTAATGGTCAGGGATAAAGGGGGTAAGGGTTAGGGTTTTATGGTCAGGGATAAATTTTTGGTAAATGGTTAAGGGTTTCGGGATAAATTTGGTTTAATGGTTAAGGGTTATGGTCAGGGTGTTTCTAGTAAAGGGGTTTTAAATTTTTTCAGGGGATGACCCTAGTTTTGGTTAAGGGTTAAGGGTTTTCAGGGATGAACTGGAAAGGGGAAATTTGGTTATGGTCAGGGATGATCTGGTAATGGTTAATGGTCAGGGATGATCTGGTAATGGTTAATGGTCAGGGATGATCTGGTAATGGTTAATGGTTATGGTCAGGGATGATCTGGTAATGGTTAATGGTCAGGGATGATCTGGTAATGGTTAATGGTCAGGGATGATCTGGTAATGGTTAATGGTTATGGTCAGGGATGATCTGGTAATGGTTAATGGTCAGGGATGATCTGGTAATGGTTAATGGTTAATGGTCAGGGATGATCTGGTAATGGTTAATGGTTATGGTCAGGGATGATCTGGTAATGGTTAATGGTCAGGGATGATCTGGTAATGGTTAATGGTTATGGTCAGGGATGATCTGGTAATGGTTAATGGTCAGGGATGATCTGGTAATGGTTAATGGTCAGGGATGATCTGGTAATGGTTAATGGTTATGGTCAGGGATGATCTGGTAATGGTTAATGGTCAGGGATGATCTGGTAATGGTTAATGGTTATGGTCAGGGATGATCTGGTAATGGTTAATGGTTAATGGTCAGGGATGATCTGGTAATGGTTAATGGTTATGGTCAGGGATGATCTGGTAATGGTTAATGGTCAGGGATGATCTGGTAATGGTTAATGGTTATGGTCAGGGATGATCTGGTAATGGTTAATGGTCAGGGATGATCTGGTAATGGTTAATGGTCAGGGATGATCTGGTAATGGTTAATGGTTATGGTCAGGGATGATCTGGTAATGGTTAATGGTCAGGGATGATCTGGTAATGGTTAATGGTTATGGTCAGGGATGATCTGGTAATGGTTAATGGTCAGGGATGATCTGGTAATGGTTAATGGTTAATGGTCAGGGATGATCTGGTAATGGTTAATGGTCAGGGATGATCTGGTAATGGTTAATGGTTATGGTCAGGGATGATCTGGTAATGGTTAATGGTCAGGGATGATCTGGTAATGGTTAATGGTCAGGGATGATCTGGTAATGGTTAATGGTTATGGTGGTAGTAAATGTCTACCTACATACACTATATTGCCAAAAGTATTTGCTCACCTGCCTTGACTCACATATGAGCTTAAGTGACATCCCGTTCCTAATCCATAGGGTTCAATATGACGTCGGTCCACCCTTTGCAGCTAGAACAGCTTCAACTCTTCTGGGAAGGCTGTCCACAAGGTTTAGGAGTGTGTTTATGGGAATTTTTGACCATTCTTCCAGAAGCGCATTTGTGAGGTCGCACACTGATGTTGGACGAGAAGGCCTGGCTCTCAGTCTCCGCTCTAATTCATCCCAAAGGTGTTCTATCGGGTTGAGGTCAGGACTCTGTGCAGGCCAGTCAAGTTCATCCACACCAGACTCTGTCATCCATGTCTTTATGGACCTTGCTTTGTGCACTGGTGCACAGTCATGTTGGAAGAGGAAGGGGCCAGCTCCAAACTGTTCCCACAAAGTTGGGAGCATGGAATTGTCCAAAATGTCTTGGTATGCTGAAGCATTCAGAGTTCCTTTCACTGGAACTAAGGGGCCAAGCCCAGCTCCTGAAAAACAACCTCACACCATAATCCCCCCTCCACCAAACTTTACACTTGGCACAATGCAGTCAGACAAGTACCGTTCTCCTGGCAACCGCCAAACCCAGACCCGTCCATCAGATTGCCAGATGGAGAAGCGCGATTCGTCACTCCAGAGAACGCGTCTCCACTGCTCTAGAGTCCAGTGGCGGCGTGCTGTACACCACCGCATCCGACGCTTTGCATTGCACTTGGTGATGTATGGCTTGGATGCAGCTGCTCGACCATGGAAACCCATTCCATGAAGCTCTCTGCGCACTGTTCTTGAGCTAATCTGAAGGCCACATGAAGTTTGGAGGTCTGTAGTGATTGACTCTGCAGAAAGTTGGCGACCTCTTCGCACTATGCGCGTCAGCATCCGCTGACCCCGCTCCGTCAGTTTACGTGGCCTACCACTTCGTGGCTGAGTTGCTGTCGTTCCCAAACACTTCCATTTTCTTATAATACAGCTGACAGTTGACTGTGGAATATTTAGGAGCGAGGAAATTTCACGACTGGATTTGTTGCACAGGTGGCATCCTATCACAGTTCCACGCTGGAATTCACTGAGCTCCTGAGAGCGACCCATTCTTTCACAAATGTTTGTAAAAACAGTCTTCATGCCTAGGTGCTTGAATTTATACACCTGTGGCCATGGAAGTGATTGGAACACCTGATTCCAATAATTTGGATGGGTGAGCAAATACTTTTGGCAATATAGTGTATATCAGTGATATAAAATGTGTTCTCAGGTTAAAGGTGTGACTGTTGGAGCTGCTTTCTGTGCTTCATTAGCAGATCAGGCTCAGTTTTCTCCATCATCGCTGATCTGAGACGGTTAGCCCCCCCCCTTCATGGTTTCAGCTGCTGCTGCAAAGGAAACACTGCAGCCCCCCCACTCATCCACTGGAGCTGGAGGACTCTGTGAAACCAGAAGCATTTCTGAGAGTCTGAATGAGGGGGGGGGGGTGAAAATCAAGCAGTTTTCTTTCTACTCTTAAATGCAGCTCAGTTAGATCTGAGTTTAGGCTTCAGGCTTTGCTCTGTGATGGATGTAGTTTATAAAAGTGTTGCTATTGTCCTGCTAGTGACATTGTTGACCTTTTTTCCTCCAGCTGGTTCTGACCCAGACACTCCTCATTCCTGACCCCAACTGTGTTGAAAGGAAATTCCTTCAGTGTTTTAGGTAGATGTTGTCCTTAAGGTGGAGATTTATACTTTCAAACCAGATCGTCTGCATAGGTCGTACTGAGCCTGGTTCTGCTGCAGGTTTCCTCTCCACACTCGCTGCATGCATGCTCAGTGTGAGGGATTGCTGAACAGTCAGTGTTTGCTGTCTCATCCAGTAAAGTCGGATCCAATCAGCTTTGAACCTTTAATCTGAGCAGGTGATCTAGTTGGACTGATTGAATCTAGATGCATGGCGCCATAACTCTATGAGAAACTGTTTATTTTCTTTCTTTTTCTCTTTTAAATCCGTATCCTTTAATTAATCCTCATTTATGTTGATTATTTTCCATGCTTTATAGAAGCTGTGATCTATGCTCTATTCTCCTCTGTCCCGTTCCGGCCCTGACATCCATTCCAGACCAGATCTTCTCTGGATCTGTCCCATTCCCAGAGGACCCAGCTGCTATCTGTTTGGCTGCGTTCTCACAGTGCATTCTGGGTAAACTTCTGCTGTACGCTTGTTTCAGGAGACGGGACGCTCAGAGTTTGGGATGTTAAGGCCGCCCTGTGCCGATTGGCTGTCCCTGCTCACAAAGCGGAGATCCTGAGCTGTGATTGGTGTAAATATGACCAGGTGAGCATCTATCAACCCTCCTTCATCCAGCTGGACCAACTTCATTTATTTTATTTTTGAATAAGAGTAGGAGGACGTTTCTCTGACTTACTGCCATCAAATTATTTTATTTATTTATTTTAGACTTGATCAGCTTTATTCAGCGATATTAAAACGATACTAAAATTAGTTTTAGTGCAGCTTTCCAGACCGTAAACGAACATTTCCGTTCCATAAAGTCCAGCAGTGATCAAATCATTGGATTGAAATGGTTTTCTTTGAACCTTTGACGTATTTCTGGATATTTATCTGAGCAGAATCTGTTGGCCACCGGTTCTGTGGACTGCAGCGTGTGCGTTTGGGACCTGAGGAACGTCCGACAACCCGTCAGCCGCCTGCTGGGACACACCTACGCCGTCCGCAGGGTCAAGGTAGGTGGAGGACTGTGCTGGTGTTACTGGTTCCAATGGCTGGAAAAATCAAAAACAATCTAGAAATAACTAAATATTTCTTAAATGAAGTGTATTTGCCTTTACTTTAAGCAGGAAAGTGTAATAATTTATTAATGGAACGAGTATTTTTACTCTTAAAATTAGAAAATTCGATAATATGCAGCTTAAATGAGAAAATGCAATTGTTCTTATTTTAAATGTTAATATTTTTGTGTCTCACTTTCCTCCTCAATAAAAAAAAAACTAATCTAGCTGTAAAGTTTTTGCAGTTCAGGGTCTGATCCTAAACTGTTTCTCTGATCAGACCTGAGTGACGTTCTGTTTGTCCTGACGGCATCAAACCGCCATTTTAATGGACCTAATAGGAACACACGGTGGGGGGGGTAAATGCTCTGTGTTCACTGCAGAATCTAGAATCCAATTATCTGCATGGCAGCGGCTGACTGACCGCTTGATGCTCAGAGGGGAATAGAAGCGCTGCTTCAGCTGGGTCGCCCTGAAGGGAGGCAGGCATCGCCGATCGATGGAGACGACTCATCACCGCCGTTAGACGGCGTGAAGGGATCAGTGTCCTGCTGCTGGTCCAGCAGGGAGGGGGGGGGAACTGGTGACTGCATTACCAGCCCGGATCGTCACCCCTCCTCCAATCAGGAGCTGGTCGGCTCCAGTTCCTCCGCTTCATGGTGGAACATCTCTAAAGAACCTGCTGCCCTCCTCCATCTGTCTGCTGATTGGCTCATGGCTTCGCTGGAGGAGGAACCAGAGGAGCAGAACCTCCATCTAAGCAGGAAACTGGATCCAGCCAAGTCTCTGGGTTCTGGAAGGTTCTGGGAGGCAGCTGCAGGCTTGGCTGTGCCTCTCTTTTGAGACCAAAGCTCTCTGAGGCCCCCCAGTAAAGACCGCCCAGTCTAACCAGAGCCGAACGTCGCCACCGTCCTGTTAACCCCGTCCTTCCTCTGTGTCTCTGAGCCGCCCTGATCTGGAACAACCAGCAGGTTCCAGACCCAAACAGCCTCTTAGTTCTAGTCCTGAGGTGGTTCTGCTAACCTTTGACCTCCCAGGTTACACCCTCACCCTCAGAGCTTCATCCTCTGCTAAAACCAAAATAAGTTCAGGATCCAGTTCTAAGACTGTTGGTTCTGATTTTACGGTTCTGTCTGTAACCTTTGGTGACCTGGAGGCGGCTGGGAGGAAGGAGGATGAATTTCTACATAGATTTCACCCTAAACATCGTCCATCAGTCTGTGATCAGTGCCACCTGCTGATGAGGAAGCTGAACCTGCCAGAAGCAGAGAGGAGGAAGAACAAATTCACTGCTTAGTTTGCTGAGATGATTCTCTGTGTCTGAAAATCACTGAACAGACCAGAGACTCCGCCCACACCGCCAGGAGCTTAATATACCTGAGAGAAACTGACCGTTTCTAAGGAATCTGATGAGGAATGGATGAATGAATGAATGATGCGTGGATGATGAATGAATGAATGATGGATGGATGAATGAATGAATGAATGATGGATGAATGATGAATGGATGATGAATGAATGAATGATGGGTGGATGATGAATGAATGATGGGTGGATGATGAATGAATGAATGATGAATGAATGAATGATGCGTGGATGATGAATGAATGAATGATGGGTGGATGATGAATGAATGAATGATGGATGGATGATGAATGGATGATGAATGAATAGATGATGGGTGGATGATGAATGAATAGATGATGGATGGATGATGAATTAATGAATGATGGGTGGATGATGAATGAATGAATGATGGATGGATGAATGAATGATGAATGAATGAATGATGCGTGGATGATGAATGAATGAATGATGGGTGGATGATGAATGAATGAATGATGGATGGATGATGAATGGATGATGAATGAATAGATGATGGGTGGATGATGAATGAATAGATGATGGGTGGATGATGAATTAATGAATGATGGATGGATGAATGAATGAATGAATGATGGATGAATGATGAATGGATGATGAATGAATGAATGATGGGTGGATGATGAATGAATGAATGATGGATGGATGATGAATGAATGAATGATGGGTGGATGATGAATGAATGATGGATGGATGATGAATGGATGATGAATGAATAGATGATGGGTGGATGATGAATTAATGAATGATGGGTGGATGATGAATGAATGAATGATGGATGGATGAATGAATGAATGAATGATGGATGAATGATGAATGGATGATGAATGAATGAATGATGAATGGATGATGAATGAATAGATGATGGGTGGATGATGAATTAATGAATGATGGGTGGATGATGAATGAATGAATGATGGATGGATGAATGATGGATGAATGATGAATGGATGATGAATGAATGAATGATGGGTGGATGATGAATGAATGAATGAATGATGGATGGATGATGAATGGATGATGAATGAATAGATGATGGGTGGATGATGAATGAATAGATGATGGGTGGATGATGAATTAATGAATGATGGGTGGATGATGAATGAATGAATGATGGATGGATGAATGAATGAATGAATGATGGATGAATGATGAATGGATGATGAATGAATGAATGATGGGTGGATGATGAATGAATGATGGGTGGATGATGAATGAATGAATGATGAATGAATGAATGATGCGTGGATGATGAATGAATGAATGATGGGTGGATGATGAATGAATGAATGATGGATGGATGATGAATGGATGATGAATGAATAGATGATGGGTGGATGATGAATGAATAGATGATGGGTGGATGATGAATTAATGAATGATGGGTGGATGATGAATGAATGAATGATGGATGGATGAATGAATGAATGAATGATGGATGAATGATGAATGGATGATGAATGAATGAATGATGGGTGGATGATGAATGAATGAATGATGGATGGATGATGAATGGATGATGAATGAATGAATGATGGGTGGATGATGAATGAATGAATGATGGATGGATGAATGAATGAATGAATGATGGATGGATGAATGAATGAATGAATGAATGATGGATGAATGATGAATGAATGATGGGTGGATGATGAATGAATGGATGATGAATGAATGAATGATGGATGGATGATGAATGAATAGATGATGAATAGATGATGCGGTTGTAACCCGGATTGTTTCCTCCCCAGTTTTCTCCGTTCAGTCAGACGCTGCTGGCCTCCTGCTCCTACGACTTCACGGTCCGGTAGGTTCCATTCAGTTACGCCTCAAACATCTTTGAGTTTTTATTCTCTTAACAGATCTGTTCATTTTTCTACATTTAAATTTTCATTCACAAACAAAGAAGTTCAGCATGTTTACGCTATAAAATGGAAACGAAGACGTTGAAGCTAAACAGGAAACTTCTGAATGTTTCATTTCTAAGTTGATATTAAATCCCATTCTGCTCCTTCTGATTGGCTGGAGGGAGGGAGGGAGGGAGGAGTGATGATGATGATGATGATGATGGAGGGAGGTGGTGTGTAACATGAAGACATGATGAGCTGCAAACAAACTGGTTGTAACGTAACTTCAAACTGTTCAATAGAGAAAAAATTAAGTATCTTTAATTTATATGTAACTTTTTGAGAAGTTATTTTATATCCTTAAATTTGAATTGGTTTAGTTAATTTTCTGTTAAATGCCGTTAGAATAAAAACTCCTGTTTAGCTGCAGCAGAATGGATCAACTCTAAGGAAAGCCTTTCATTCAGAATCAAATAAACAAAAACTGCTGTCGATAAATTGTCAGTAAATATTCCATAAAATAAATAAATTCCCAGTCGGCGTGCGCGTGCACGTGACTCACGCTGAGTCACGTGCACGTGCACGTGACTCAGCCTGGGTCTGTGTTGCTGACAGAGAATCTGTTCAGCTTTTGTCTAGAAGTAGATGAACTCCTCCGATCAGGGAGTCCATGTTTGAAGGGCAGGAAGTAAAAAACAATGATTAGTTTAAGGAAGAGTTTCAATGTTTCTAATGAATAATAATAAACAATAAATAAATAAAGTTGTTTATCTTTACCATATAAAAAAAGAAGCCTTTTCAGGAAAGGAATGTCGTCTCATCAGTCGCCCCACTTCATTCGTCACAAACTTTCCTCATCAACATACTTTTCACAATTTAATTTAGTTTTTTTAGTAATTTAACTTTAGGTTAATTCCTCCATTTTACAGGTTTTTTCAGTTTTAAACTTTTAATTTCACCTTATTTTATGCCCTACTTACTTTTTTTGTAATAATTTTGTCGTTTTTTTTTATTTTTAGCTATAATTTATTAATTTCCTGTAAAAATTTAGAGTTTTGTTTCTTTAAAAGCACCGTTGAAATTAAACTTCATTATTATAACTTAGTATAGTGTAAGTTTAATGTATAATAAAGTATAAATATGTTTAGTATCAGGTTTAAACTCTGCCTTTTTGACTTCTTATTTTAACCCTTTTCTCTCTGGAGCTCAGAGTTTCTTTGAACTCTCCTCTCATCCATCATTTTAAACTGTTTTTTTTCTTTAAATCTGCAAGTTTCTTATCTTACCTTCTTTTTTAGCCTCTAACTTCAACTTTGTTTATCTTATCTTTAACATTTTTCTATTGCAACATTAGATCAAAAATGTCTCCTTGGGCAGTTGACATTTCCCTGGAACCTTGCCTTTTGTTTTTCTACCATAGAACTGCAAAACCTTTCCCATTATCTACAGGTAATTTACTGGTTTCCAATATGCACACCATTCCTCTGGTGCCGACCTGGATAACTGGGGGGGGATCCCACTCTAGATTACCAACGTCTCAGTAAAATGAAGTACCTTCTGGTGGCGCCTACACCCTTCCTCTCACCCTTAGAGAGAGCCTCACGTTCCTCTGCGAGGTCTTTTGGTTCACAGGCGGGAAAAAAAAGGCTGTCCATCAGAGCGGCGTTTCACCGTGTTATCGATCCGCTGGCTCTCTGCTGAGTAGAGGTTTTATTATGAGCTGATTCACACAGTCAGGCTTCATTCTTTGAGTCTCTCAGTGATGAGATGTTTTCTTTGCTCCTCCACTGAAAGTCTGACCTTATAAAGACGGACCGTTTATTTCGGTATCGGCCGATTCTATCATTCCTCCTTCAGATCACCTGATGCTCCATCTGTCTGCTTTCTATGGCTCATGTTTGGATGCATCTGTTTATAAAAGTTTATTTTCTCATGACATTGAGACCCGTGTAACATTTGGCGTCAATTATTCATTTTTATCGTGTAATCAGAGGAAATCTGCAGCGGACGTCGTGGTTTGGTGGTAAATTCTGTGTATCAGTATTAAAAACCTGCATCCTTTGATCTGAGCCGGACCTCACAAACACATTAAACCCAAACCTGTCCTCCAGGTGACGCGCCCAGCAGCAGACAGTCAGGTGAAGGTTATAAGCCCCTCCCCTTCCTGAAAAAGGCTGAGAATCAAAGCTCAGACGCCTGGAAGGCTCTGTATTCAGGCCGTCTCTGATCACAGACGCTTGAAGTTTTCTACGTTGTTACCATGGTTACTGCCTCATTTCCTGCTCACAGGTCCGGTGATCGCAGGGTTACCTGTAACCGCGGTGACCTGTTGAATAAAAGAGCCAATCACAGACAGGTTGAGATCATCAGCTGATGAGGGCAGCATGTTTGCTCTAATGACTCCACCGTAATTATGCTTTGCTTTCTACGGTGTGATGAGTAAATATGGTGAAAGTTGACAGTCTGATGATTTCATTACTAATCTGATTCTCTCTGTTGTGTTCGGCTCATTAAAGCCTCTGCTGTGTAAACACACCTGCTCAGAGCGCAGGAAGCTCGTTACAGGACGCAGCTTTTCTCTGTTCCACCTGCAGCTTCTTTAAATGCTGCTGTATGGAGTGAATTTTGCTCCATCATTATATCCATTATCCAAAAAACATCTTGTAAATTAAAACATAATAAAAATGAAATCAAGAAATGAAACTTTGCTTATTTAGCTGTTTTCTCCGAACAGATTTAATATTTTTACATTTTATATTTTAAAATGACAGATTTTATATTTTCACATGTTGATTATTGAAGCTATATTAGTTCTACAAATTTTTCACATTTTCTACATTTCTTTTCAAATTTCTATTTTTCGGAAACTTTCTCTACTTTATTTTCCTTCTGCATTTGACGGATCCACAGATTCTCTTGGTTTCCAGCCTGATCCAAACGCTCGCTCGCAGACCAATAGAAATACGTCTTTGCTCTCTCTCCAGAGGAAAGCCCGCCCCCATTCTGGAAAGGAATGTAGTTTGTAAAAATCTAACTAAAGAACAGAAAAAAGAAAATATAAAATATTTTTTAAAATAGATATGAAAAGAAAAATGTAGAAGTACAATCTGTAAAAAGTCTAAAAAAACAACAACTTTGTCTTAAAACCTTTTTATGATTAAAACATTTTCATAGCTTCATTTGTAGATTGCATTTTTTGCTTTTCAAATATCTATAAATAAACCTTTTTTATTCGCTTGCAACACTAATGGAACAAATTTAACTCCATACTGGTGACTATCAAAGTAAAATACTTTGATCCGAACGCTGCAGAGTTAGGCGTGTCGTGCCTGTGTGGTCGTTCTTCATGCTCACTCCGTCCTAATGATTAGCAGGGGTCATGACCTCGTGGTTCTGGTCTCCGTTGGTTACGTATTTAAATGAAGACTCAGCGGCCGTCTTATCTTGGAGTAAAGCTGTAGGTAATTGTTTCTGCCCTGCTGTGTTTGTTTCTGGCTAATTTCCTGTTTTAACTGAATAATAATGACGATCGTCTGGCTGTGAAATCACCCACATAAGCAGAGCTGAGAGACGCTCAGACCATTTATCTCTGACTTATTTTCTAATACTTTGACTCTAACAGCTTTTGTGCATTAATCCATCTTATCAAAACCAAACATTTTCTACAATAAATTTATATCAGTCTATAAAAGAACTTGATATAGAATAAATTTCTCAGTAATCTTAATATATGATTGGAATAACAGCATTAGATGATTGACAGGCGAAAAACAAGAACAAAAACAGTAATACAAACACAGTAAATATGGCAGAAAACCCGCTCGAAAAAGACGGAAGCGCTCCAGACCACTAGAGGGAGCTGAACAAGAAGAAACCAAACCCTCCGTTCAAACAGGAAGTACATTTTTGATGCAGAATGGAGATGTTTGTTATCTTTCACTTCATTGTCAAATAAATCTTCTCATTGTATCAAATAATTTAATTACATTTTCTATTCAGTTTATTTCTATAGCTCCAATCCACATCATGTCATCTCAGGTCACTTTATAGATCCAGATCAACCAGATCATCCAGTCAGATTGATTCTTTTCTATCTAAGGAAAACCAGCTGATTGCATCGACTCATTGACTCTTCAGCAATCCCTCACACTAAGCATGCTTGTAGCGACAGTGGAGAGGAAAAACTCCCTTTGAACAGGAAGAAACCTCCAGCAGAACCAGGCTCAGTGTGAGCGGCCATCTGCTGAGGCCCACTGGGGTTCAAGGAGACAGAAGCAGACATAGAAAAAGAAGCATAGATACAAAAGGCAACTGTCAACCAGCTCCACAGGCGGCCCCGTCCAGGAAACACACAGCCAGGCAGACGAGCTCCGAGCCAGCTCCCATGTCAGAGGATGAAGAGAGCACATCCAGTTAGTCACAGTCAGAGAAACAGGACTACACTGGAAAACAGGCCAAGCTCCAACATCTAGAAACAAAGGTGTTGATGGCAGCAGCACAGCTGATATTTCTCTCCAGGATGGAGTCACAGCCAAACAGGAACAGACCAGATGAAGCTACTATGAGAAAAATATATTGCTTATAGACATTAGTGAATAAACATTACTAAATAATTCTTCCAAAGCTCTGATGGCTTCACAAAGTCAACACTCCGTTGATTCAAACCAAAATAAGATGCACAGTGCTGAAGCATCCTTCTTCTGTTCTACTGAAAGCAGCAGGTTAGGGTAGCAGGGTGACCTCACCAAGATGGCGCCCATAGTTTCTGTGCTGCGACAGTCAATGTGGGGTCTACTCTTATTTCTGCGTCTATGGTCCAGACCGGGACAGCGTGGGAGGGGGCTGGACGGTTTGTCTGCTGGAAGGGGAAGTCCGCCATGTTTGAAGCTCATGCTGCTGCGTCCAGGCTGCTCTGTAAACATCACGCTCATGTTTTCTTTAAATAATTGATCATGTTTGC